CATGGTCATCTCTCTTAATGACACAGAGTAAATGAAGATGGACATGCGGCCCCTATCACCCTGCCCTCATCCCACGCAGGTTCCCAGCTCCCTGCGCTCACCATCCTCCATCTGGCACACCAGTGCACCAAAGGGAAACTGAGGCGCCCCGCTGAGGGCCAGCCTAAGGCCACAGCCAGGCAGTTGGGGTCTGGGGGGACTCTCCAGCCTGGGTGGGCTTCAGCTACAGATACATACTGCTTTAGGGCAAGCCATGAGCTCTAAGCAGACCCGACCCCTTTCCCCAAGTCTGCCCCCACCATCTCTCCTCAGGGTCCCATTTGTCCCAAACGGCTTTGTCCTCCCCATTCAGGGCCACCTCTGTCCATCCAGGAGCCTGAGGTCCAGCCATCTCTGGACTCCCTACCCCCAGGAACCACTAAGGGGCTGCTGAACCCAACCCATCCCTCCTCCCCAGCCTTGGTGGAAAGACAGGTCTAACCCTCTTAGCCTGTCCGCATCAGGCCCTGCCACTCCCTGGACCCCGGAAAGCCCTCTCCCCAGCCCAGTCTTGGCAATTTGACCACCAAGTTGGGTCACCACTCTGGGCCTTCAGCTGAAGATCCCCCTCCCCTGCCTCCTTGCTCCTTGGTGTGGGGTTGGGGCAGATCAAGACCCAGCTCCTGGCACTCAGGGCCCATGCCACCTCTTTGTCCTCACCTGGCACCCCTATTCTACCTGCCTGTATGCAGCCTGGGCCCCCCTCCTGGCACATCCCTTCCCCGACATACTCTGGTCGGGGCCCAGGAGCCTGTGTGGGCCCCATAACACACCCACAACCAAGGCCTGCAGCCTGTTCCTTCCTGCCTTCCGGCCCAGGTGGACGCAGGGCAGGGATGAAGGCTGTGGGTGCCCATGGCCAGGTGTCTGCGGGTGCCTGCTCCCAGCCCTTTCTATCAGACCCAGGATGGGGTCTTTGAGGGAGGAGCACAGGAGCATCAACTCCACACTGGCCTGGCCCTGCGCTGCACTCCTCCCCTCCCCTGGGGTGGGAGTGTTGGTGGGAGGAGACCTGGATGAGAAGTTTGGGGTTGGTCCTGCCTCTGTGCAAAAATAAAGCCTCTCTCCCAGTGGACGGTGACAGCGTCTTCCCAAGCAGGGAACAGAGATTCCCCCCTCTCTGGAGGTATGGGAGGAAGCCAGAGACCCCCCACTCCCGGGTCCCTCCACCAGGGCCCCAAATTGAGGGGGAGGGCAGGTCAGTCTCCAGCACACCCAGGCAAAGTCTGGAAATGTACTTCAGTTGGCTTGTCTCAGGGATTCCCAATCCATGCCTGGTCTCTAGGGTTCTCCACCCCTTGATTGGGGGTCCAGACTCCAGGGCACAGGAGCAAGGAGGACACAGGGTCCCTGGCCGCAGGGGGAGTCTCCCCTTCAAGGGGCTACCAGCTACCCAGCCCCCAGCCACCAGCACGCAAGTGTCAGAAGAGGGTCTCTTTAATGGGAAACGCCAGGCCCTGCCCCTCCCCACCAGTGGGCAGCATGTCCGTGAGAGGGTATCCGCCTTTGGGTCACTGCAGCGGGGGTGCAGACAGCGAGGCATGGTCGAACAGTGGGTTCCGAACCTCCATCTCTCCCGTCTGTGAACGCTGGCGTTAGGTGGGTCCAGGGCAGCGGAGGGCCCCCTAGCTGGTTAGGCCCCCCCTCCCCCACCCGCAGCACTCACCGGGGCCAGGCCTGGGCACTCGTATACAGTGAAGTCGCCGTCTTCGTTCTCCTCGTCGGAGGAGACAGACTCCAGCTCCTTGGGCGGCTCTTTATGCCTGGGTAGGGACAGGATGGCTGGGTCCTCCCACACGCTCCAGGTGCCAGTGGCCCAGGATAGCAGGCGGCAGGCCTGGGGTGGGCGTGGCCGGGACTGGGGGCGGGGCCCCGGCGGGGACTGGGGTGTGGGCCGGAGTGGGCGGGGCTTCTCACCGCTCCAGGCACCGCATCTGCTGCCTCTGGTGCTGATAGTGGTACATCTCCGCGCTGTGCGCCAGCCGCTGGTCCCCGGGCTGCTGAAGGAGTGGGGAGGGAGAGTCAGGCCCAGTGGCAGCAGGGCGGGGGCGCGCACAGCATGGCAGGGGTCACGCACCGAGATTCTGGGCGTTGCGGGGGAGCCCGGTGCCTGTGGGGCCGTGTAGTCTGCCTTCTGAGTCAGGCGGATGTCCCTCTGCAGCCTGTGGGGAGTGGAGAGATCTGCAGCCTGAGGCCTGCAGGGTCACCGCCCGCCCGCCCTCAGCCCAGCCGGGCCGGCACTCACCTACACCAGCAGAGAGCCGCCATGGCCAGCGCGGCCACGCCCGCCATGGAGAACGCCAAGATCAGCGCTGCAGGGAGGGGACACGGTGAGGGCGGCCTCCCAGGCAGGACCCTGCCTCCCTGACTGCCCAGACCTACCGAGGGCGAGGCCATCACCGTGTCGTGGCGCCAGTGGGGACATGTGCACAGGCCCAGATGACACCGTGGAGCCCAGGGAGGTGTGGGGTGTAGGCGACGAGGCTCCCGGAGTGGAGGGGAGGCCCAGGTCGGGGCCCCGGCCATGCTCTGAGAGTCCCAGGGTGGCAGCTGCCAAGAGAAGGCAAATCAGAACAGCAAGACCAGGCTGGGGCCGGGGGGAGCGGGGAGATGGGCAGGGGGTGGGACAGGGTCTCACCAGCCTCCAGGAGCTGCTGTCGCCCGAGGGGTGGGGCCATGAGCCTGGAGTGCCCTGCCTCCTTCTGGGCTAGCTCCTGGGCCAGGAAGTCAATCTCATCTTCCAGTCTGGGCTGGGGCAAGCCCTCCCCTGGGGAGGGCAAGGGGCCATCAGGTGGAGAGGCCCCCAGCCCTTTCCTGGCAACAGCAGCTACAGGTGGCTTTCCAAGAGGGAGAAGGAGGAAGCCCATCCAGGGGCCAGCCACTGGCCCAGGCCTCCTTCCTGCAGGCCCCTCCTAGACACCAAAACACCAGGTACCAGCCTGCATCTCCCGGCCATCCCGGTTGCCATGGTGACAACGGAATGATGCAGCATTCCCAGGAAGGTGGGCAGAGGGCAGGGGTGCTCAGGGAATGTGCAAAGGCCAGGAAGAGAAGGACAGGGGTGCCCCATACCCCACCCATGACCCACAGAGGGGTGGGCAGAGCCCTGGAACCAAATATCACCCAGCCCACCACCTCCTCTGCCAAGAGGGGCAGGACTCCTCAAGGAATGGGGAGAGGCCCCATTCTCTATCCCCCACCTCTGCCAGGTCACCAGGAGGAAGGGAGAGCAGCTGTCAGGGCAGGGCTGGTGGCTGGGCCTCCCTGACCCTGCCATGGGCTGCATGGTTCAGACAGAGGCTCCAAGTAGACACCCTCGCTCAGCATCCAAGGAGCAGAGCATGTGCCTTCTTCAGCAGGCCTCCACCCAACTTGCTGCAGGAACCTCCTCCTCCAGGAGGCCCTCCCTCCCCACCGGATGCTTCAGCTCCCACAGCAGCCCTTTGTAATGCCCGTCACACCTGAAGTCACTCAGCGTCTGGCTGGCACCATCCCGACAGACTCGGCTCAGGTCAGTGGGCAGGGCCCCACCAGTGCAATCAAGCAGACAGGACGAGCAAGCAGTGGAGAGAGGAACGCTGGGCAAAGAGCAGGGGTGGCCCGGGGTGGGGGGGGGCAAAGTAGGGGGTTTGGGGCCAACCCTGTGGAGACCCAGGCCTGGGAGCTCTGACCCCGCCTCCCTCGGGGTCAGCTCAGCACTTCACACCAGACACCTCTCACCCTGGGAGGGGCTGTGTGGCCCAGGCCTCGGCCTACCACCCGGCTCTGGGCTAATGCCACATGGAAGGATCATCAGGCTGCTCAGAGGGTGACGTGAGAGTCCCTGGCACCCCACAAAGCTCACGAGACCTGGGAGCTGAGAATGGGGGTGAATGTATCAGGTAGGGGAGGGAGGAAGGATGCCTGCTTTCCCGTACCCGGAGGCTGGCGCTGTGTCCTGGGCACACAGAGCCCCTGAGGATCCTCCCGGAAGGGCTGAAGGCAGGGCCCACAGACGTGCGCACCCGGGGGGCACCGTGCCCGCCTCTTCAGGGCACAGTCCAGGCTCCCAGGACAGGTGGCGACATCTGGGAAGGAAGCAGAGGCAGAACAGGGTCACGGCCCTGCCTGACTCAGCCCCTGCCCAGAAGCAGGACTGTCCTGGCCATCCCAACCCCTCCCCACAGACCTGGAAGAGCCTGGCTCCGGCCATTGTTCTGGGCAGGCCTTTCCTCCCAAGTGCCAGGGATCAGAACCAGGAAGACAAACAGCCCTAACGCATATCGGAACTCCTCCTGCCCCACCCACTCCCCGGAGTCCACTTTCCAGGCCTGAGCCAGCTTTCTGCACAGAAACTGTCCCTTACTGTCCAGACAGCACTGGGCTCTCCAGGGCAGGGCCACGCAGCCCTCCAGTCCCGCCTCTGGTCTCAACGTGTCCCGGAGCCAGCTCCATACCCTCTGACCAGACTGGGAGCCCCAGAGGGTGGGGCCCAGATCTCTCTGGCTCAGAGGCAGCAAAGGATTCTCTCCTCTCCCTACATAACAGGGTCGCCTCCCATTTCAGAGCTGTACCCAAATACCTCATCATGACGTCCTACAGCCCCAGGGAGCCATGCTGGAAGATGGCACAGAACAAGTGCCCAACAGTCCCCACCACGTCTAACCTCCAGCTTGTCCTTAGGGCACAGCGGAGCTGCTGGGGTGGGGGAAAGCTGGGATGGAGTGGGCCAGTCTCACTTGCTTCGGAAACAGAAACTGGGCTGGGGTCATTCCTGCAGACACCACTGCCAGGACTGGGGAGTGCCTGAGACTACAGGCCAGGCCCAGGTCCTAATTTGGGGCCCAGACTTCAGTGTTCTGTACACATGGCCTTGCACTGGCCCTCCCCACCTTGGCTTCCTCTCTGGATGCAGAAGGTGAACTGCCTTGAGGCTAGGGAGTATCTCAAGGCCTCGGACACTGGCCCTAGTCAGGGACAGCAGAGTCAGTGGGATACCCAGCAGAACCGTCAATCCTGTTTGGGGAGGTTGGGATGGGGGTGTCTCTGGAGGACCAGGACCACTCCTCTCAGCCCAGCTCCCACTGCAGGAGGATGACATGAGGCATCAGGGAATGCTGGCTCTGTCCTTCTTCAGACCTTGACCAGACTGGCTTGGTTTCCTTGGTAACTTGATACTCAGCCTCCTGGCGGTAGGCATCTCTTTGAGGAAGTTCCAGCAGCTCCGACTGCAGGCAGGGAGGTGGGCAGAGGCTCCCATAACAGGGACTCCCCCTCCTGCACAACCTGGGTCAGTGAGCTAGGCCTGGGGCTTGGGCTAGTTAAAGTTTGAGCCTGTGCCAGCAGGTCCATCTGGACGTCACCCACCAGCTGGGCCCTTGGGGAGCCAGGCAGTCCCAGCTCCTGGTACCAAGAACCCAGAGCGCGCCAGGCCAAGGGTAGGAAACTGATGCCCAAAGCTGACTCTGGGTTCTGGGTTCCAGGGGTCTCCCTCTACTCCGAGTCCCCCAACCCAGGAGCACATGGCTGCTTGTTTAGTCCTGGGAAGGCCCCCACTCCAGCCTCAGCGTGCAGGAGGAGGTCTCGGGAACAATGGCAGCTGGAGAGTGACTGGCACGCTGCCCAGCATCTGGGCAAGTACACAGCTGATGAGCAGCTGGCACCTACCTACCCCAGAGGCTCAGCACAGGGACTGCAGTCCATTTCCTCGGGAGGTCCCACCCTGCATGCCTGGGAGCCAGGCCATCAGCAGGCAGCCTCCACCATCCCTGGCCAGCCATGCTCTGGCCCTCAGGCTTCCTCAGGAGCCTCCCCTGGTCATTCTAGGCCCCTGTCCAGGGGTGCTATGCCCAGGAGGAGGCTGGCCCTGCTCGGGTCTCTTGAGGCCACATACACACACCACCGCCTAGGTTAGCATGTGAGCGGCACCACATACTGGTCACTTATCTTCTCTGTGCCTCAGTTTCCTCATCTGTAAAATGGGCTAAGAATAGCTCCTCTCCTACAGGGATGCCAGGAGACGTGACTGAATGTATGGGCGCAGAGTCTCCCAGTGCAGCCTCCGGGGCCAGGCGCGTCTTGGATTCTGGGCTCCTGCAGACCTTTGATTCTCAGTGTCCATCTGAAGCAGGGAGAGTCTGCCAGGACCCTGGGCTCATCCCTCTCTGCCTGAGGCCACCCTGGCGGGTACCCCCCAAACCCCAGCATAGAAGACAGAATAGAGGGTCCCTCCAGGGCGAGGGTGAGGGATGAAGCAATGAGGCCGGAGGTGCCTCCTGTCTGATTCCAGAACAAGACCCTAAGCCTGGGACAAGCTGTCAAACGCCCAGGAAACTTCAGACAACACTATGGCAGCAAAGCAAGGGACCCAAGGCACAGGGACAGGCAGACCAGCACTATGACTCCGACTCCAGGACAGACACGGGCGGTAAGGCCGGCAGGCGCCCAGGGCCAGGCCCGCATCCGCAGCTCCAGACACGCGCGCACACACAGAAACGCCCATGGGACGGACTCCAGGCCGCCAGCCCTCCTGAGACACTGATTCACACAGGCTCAAGGAC